AAGTCATTAAAAAAGTGACAACCTTTATGTCCGCGACCGTACATAATCAACATAATTTTGTTTATTACCAAAGTCTCATAAACGTTTCTGAACGATATGTGCTATATAGTATGTTTTTATGAAGTATACCGTAATTTATTATATATTTACTATATTATATTTATTATACTTATTTATTATATTTTTATTATATTTTATTATTATATTTTTATTAAACGGTGGAATATTTAGAAAAGATATTGAGGGAAAACTTAACATCGAGATCAAGAACTCGACGTGCCCTGAGCGTTGAAATGTATACTCATATATATACAAAAATATATACAATATAAAATATATACAAATATATAACCATACACACACACACACACACACACACACACACAATTTAGCATTCTAAACATTTATAATGAAAAATAATATATTTAAATATTATATATTTTAATACTCAGGGCAGGTCGAGTTTTTAATCTCGATGTTAAGTTTTCCCTCAATATCTTATTTAGATATTTCACCGTTTAATAAAAATATAATAATAAAATATAATAAAAAGATAATAAATATAATATAATAAATATAAATAAATTACGGTATACTTTGTAAAAACATACTATGTAGCACATATCGTTCAGAAACGTTTACGAGACTTTGGTAATAAACAAAATTATCTACTTGTTAATTATGTACTTGGTTTATTATGTACTTGGTTAATTATATTGATCGCATTTTTTTTAACAAAATTAATGAAACATTTGCATTTTTTTAATTGTTCATTTTGTACTTTTTGTATTATTATATTTTAACTATATTTTTGTTGTAATACGTTTTGTTTTGGTATGTTTTTTTTATATTTTTTGATTTGGTACACAATTCTGCTAATATTTTAGCGGAAACAAAACATATCAATGCTCACGGCTATTGCACGTTATACAGGGTGGGTCATCTAAAACAGGCCACCTGAATAATTCCCACAGTTTTCGAGATAGGAAAAAATGCTTGGAATAAAAGTTGTATGGTATCGAAGGGGACATCTTGTGGAGGTAAACAATTTTTCCTAGGTGGAGATGCTTAGGAGATTTGAAGGTCATCTCCATTTCTTTAAATGAGACCATGCGTTTTCGAATACCTACGATTGAAGCTTATCTCAAGACGAATACAATGATTATACATGCTCGAGGTCATGAACATAAAAAAAGTTGAAAATAATGTATTTTGAAAGTATGATTCTACTGATAGGGTGATTGTGACGACACGCAATTATTATTCATTGTTTTATTTATATACTTATTACGTACCACTGCTAACACAAATGCTCAAAATGGTGACCTTGAGCATCGATACATATTCTAAAGCGTCTCAATACGGATAACATGGCATGTCGAATTTCATTTGGATCAATCGCGGAGCAGGCTCTTCTTATACGCTCTTTGGTGTCTTCTCTGGTTGTTGGTATCTCGCAGTACACTTCTTATTTTAACTTTCCCCACAAATAGAAATCCAGAAGTGTCAAGTCTGGGGAACGTGCGGACCATTTGTGATTTCCACACCGACCAATCCAACGATCTCCACACTTCCTGTTAAGAATTTCTGTAGTAGTCTGTGCAGAATGAGCAGGACATCCATCTTGCTGGTACCACATATGGATTGTCGTATGTACAGTGGAATATCTTCTAACAATTGTGGCAAAACTTCTGTTAAAATCTGTTGATATTTGCAGCTATTTAACACCCCATCAATTTTTATTGACCAATTATTTTATTGGGATAGGGACCAATTATTTTATTATTTACAAGTCCGCACCAGACGTTTACAGCCTGGTTCGTGATTGATCCAAATAAAATTCGACATGCCATGTTATCCGTATTGAGACGCTTTAGAACATGTATCGATGCTCAAGGTCACCATTTTGAGCATTTGTGTTAGCAGTGGTACGTAATAAGTATATAAATAAAACAATGAATAATAATTGCGTGTCGTCACAATCACCCTGTCAGTAGAATCATACTTTCAAAATACATTATTTTCAACTTTTTTTATGTTCGTGACCTCGAGCATGTATAATCATTGTATTCGTCTTGAGATAAGCTTCAATCGTAGGTATTCGAAAATGTACGGTCTCATTGAAAAAAATGGAGATGACCTTCAAATCTCCTGAGCACCTCCACCTAGGAAAAATGTTTACCTCCACAAGATGTCCCATTCGATACCATACAATTTTTATTTCAAGCATTTTTTCCTATCTCGAAAACTGTGGGAGTTATTCAGGTAGCCTATTTAAGATGCCCCACCTGCCCTGTATAAGAGAAATTTCTAAAGCCTCGATCTGGAAATGGTTTGAAATGGGAGTTGAGGCGAGGTAGTATTTTCTCATCGAACTAAAATGAATCAAATAATCGTAAAAGAGCGTATAAAGAAGTATAATTACTAAATTACAATTGCGGAAGCGACACATTGACTTGTGCAACTACGCATTAAATACAATACAATTAAGCCACTGCACTTTCACATGAATAGCAACAGCATGAATAGCACAGTTAACTATGGCTGGTAGCTAATTGTAAGAAATACGGCTCTACCGATTAATTGTTCGTAAAGTTAGAAAAGAATAAACGCGACTTTCGTTCGAGCGAAACAAATATTTCGTGTGATTGCGGAGAAAGCAGGTGAAAGTTTTCTGTGTGACAGTATTTAACTTTATGGGATAGTAACCGACCGAAAACACTTGCCTCGTAATCGTCCGGCTCGCACGTCGCGTGTCGAGTCGCACAGAAAATCTCGGCGGTTGAGTTTCGAGTTCCACGTGTCAACAGAAAATTATACTTTTTAAACATAACATTGATATACGGTCATTAGTCTGAATGACTGATTGTTGCTAGGCGACGACGACAAAAACGACGACACGTGTACGAAAGTAATGTTTTTAAAATGAGATTGTTTTTATTCCATGTGATTAATTTCTTAAAAATCGAGGAATACGAGATGCCTTATGAAGCAAATTGTGATTGATCTTTGTGTTGTGTGTATACTGTCACTGAAATTATCATCGACGATACATTAATTATTGGGTGAGTGCAAAAGTTCGTGCGGAGTTTGTGAGTAAAAGTCACACAGTGATTAGGCAAACAAAAATCTTTATTCAATCAATGATATATTCTCCATCTTTCTCCATTCTCTATTTTCTATAATCTTTTTCCAACATTCTGGCAGCATACGGATGCCTCGATCATAAAAACTGCGCGGTTTAGATTCGAAGAACGAAGAGACGCCGTTTTTTAAGGCCTCCAAAGAGTCAAAGTTTTTTCCATTTAAATAATTTTGCAATGACCGGAACAAGTGATAGTCAGATGGTGCGATATCAGGAGAATACGGTGGATGCGTTAAGACATCCCATTTCAGGCTCTTCAGTTTGCGCAGCGTCTTTTTCGAAACGTGTGGTCTGGCGTTGTCGTGATGAAAGACGACTCCCTTGCGATTTGACAAAATCGGACGTTTCTCTTTTATTTCTCGATTCAGATTGGTTAATTGGCGACAGTACTTGTCCGAATCAATCGTTTCGCCAGCGGGGAGAAGCTCGAAATAGATTATGCCCTTGCAATCTCACCAAACAGAGAGCATCACCTTCATCGGGTGCAAACTGGCCTTTGGCATTGCGTCACCATGCTCACCTGATTGTTTCCATGTCCGTTTGCGCTGAACATTGTTGTAGAGGACCCATTTCTCATCGCCCGTCACTAGTCGATCCAAAAACGACTCGTTATTGAGCCGCCCGAGTAAAGAAACGGCTGCAGAAATTCGCTTGATTTTGTTCTTCTCGGTCAGCAAATGGGGCACCCATATATCGAGCTTCAAATCGAATCCCATCTTTTTTAAACACCGAAAAGCGGTTGATCGGTCAACGTTTAGTGCTGTAGCAACTTCTTCTGTTGAAATTCGCGGATTATTGAGCACTAAAGTACGCAAAACATCGTCATCAATGTTAGAAGGTCGACCAGAGCGTGGCTCGTCTTCAAGGTTAAATTCTCCGCGCCGAAATTTAGCAAACCATTTTTCCACAGTTCGTTTAGCTGGTGCTTCATCCTGATAAACATCCTGAATGTTTTTTACGGCTGCGGCAACGTTTATTCCCTTCCGAAACTCGTAAAGCATAACATGTCGTAAATGCACCTTATCGATACTCATTTTTAAAGTGATATTTCTCGAAGCAGTTTGTATGAAAACAAATGATTTTTTTTTTAATAACAGCTGAAGACGTCACCTTTCCAACGTTATATAATATGTAGATGGAAGTATTAATGACAACACTTTACGACGCTTATAACTCCATCTATTGAAACTCCGCACGAACTTTTGCACTCACCCAATATTATCTACGTTTAATTTTGAACATCCGTCATTTCTATTGGTTCTTTTCTCTCCAAGAAAGTGGTCCCTTATTTTCTAAAGAAAGCACTCGGCTGTCCCGATAATTTTCTCGCTATTTTTTTAAGAGAGACTGTGAATTTTTGAATGTTCATATTAAAAACTATCAATCCAATATCACAATTTTTATAGATTTTAAAGATAAGACTATAGACACCACACACATTTCTTTTACACACAAATCGCGAAAAGCCGTAAAATTATTAATAGAATTGTTAATAAGGAAGGAAATATTAAAGTGACTCGGACGCTCAAGGTCACAGAGCTATTTCACGCAAATGATAATGAGCGTGAAGTTGTCAGTCAAGGTGAAGTCATTTTGACAATGATTATAAAATTTATCTTTTACTGCCTCAGTAATATTCCGCGATATACATTACATAAATAATTTACGAGACAAGAAGCCGCTTGCAGGAGTCACTTTTTTATTTAAAAACTTATTTAAATAACGAAGCAGCAATTTCGCTCCTCAGTTCATCTCCTCAGTTCGCTTAGTTTACCTCGATTTTCAGCGTGTCGAGAATCTTAACTTAAATCCTTCTTTCTCAACTTTTCTTTTTTTGTTCTCAATTCTGTTACAGTTATTGTGAACGTAATTCTACAGTTCGATAAACATGGACACAGAGGAATTCGTGGAATTCGCCAAGAAGACCATCGACTTCGTCGCGGATTATAACAAAAACTTAGCAAGCCGAGACGTGTTGCCCAGTGTAGAGCCGGGCTATCTCAGCAAACTGTTGCCGGAAGAGGCGCCGTACAGAGCGGAAAAGTGGCAGGAAGTGCTGAAAGATGTGGAACAATATATCATGCCGGGAGTAAGTCTCTACGTTTTAGCTTCTCGCTTTTGAGAAGAAAATTTTTGACGTGTATAATCGATGCGCTTCTTTCTTCCCTAACGCAATGTATATTCTCGCGGGGATCTCGTTTTTCCGTTGTTCATCAACATCGACATTAACTGCAGGTGACACATTGGAACTCGCCGCACTTCCACGCGTATTATCCCACCGGCAATTCTTATCCCGCGCTGGTCGGTGAAATCTTGAGCTCCGCGTTCGGCTGCATAGGTTTCTCGTGGATAACGTCCCCCGCCTGCACCGAACTGGAGGTTATCACCACAAATTGGCTCGGCAAAATGTTGGGTCTGCCTAGCGAGTTTCTGAATTGTAGCGATAGACCAGGTGGAGGTGTTATACAGGTAACTGTTGTTGCTCAATTATTGACGCAATAAAAATCGCACAGTGATACTACGACGACCATAGGCATTATGTGTGCCTTTGTCTTCTTTTTACGAACGTGTAGCATTTCGTCAAGTCTCTCAAATTTGAAATATAATTTCAATCTTTGATCGATTGATGTATATTCTATCAATGATAAAAAAGAATAAAAGAAATACACGGGCTCGTCCGGGATTTGAACCCGGGACCTCTCGCACCCTAAGCGAGAATCATACCCCTAGACCAACGAGCCGTTGTACGATCAAATCGATGAGTAACAAAGTGGTATTGATCGTTGAACTAATTTTATGATACAATTCAGTTCAATATTTTTAAATATACGTTCGTAATATCTTTCGCAATTAGTTATAAAAATGATAACGCGTCATATTTTCAACTGACGAACATCAGTCCAGACACGTACACGATACGGACGAGGAAATAATGTGTGTGATTACAATGTGCATGAACTTTGTAATTTTGTAAATTGTTTCATATTATTTCTTCGTCGTTCTCAGGGATCCGCCAGTGAAGCTACTTTCCTGTGCCTATTGGCTGCAAAAGATTACACGATACGACAGATGAAAAAACTTCATCCGGAAATGGACGAGAATCTCATTAAGTCCAAGCTAGTAGCATATACTTCCAGTTAGTATTGTTTCATCTTTCGATCCTAACTTCGCGATCTCTCTTCAGTCAATTGAGTAGGTATCATCGTGAATTCGTTTCTTGATAATAATTTTCAGATCAATCAAATTCTTCGGTGGAGAAAGCAGGAATTTTAGGGTCAGTGCTAATGAGGCTGCTACCAGTGGACGATAAGCACTCTCTGCGCGGAGAAACCTTAAGGAAAGTGATTGAGGAGGATTTGGAGAAAGGTCTCATTCCATTTTATACAATTACGACTTTAGGAACGACCAACTTATGCGGCTTCGATAATCTCGAAGAGATAGGACCTGTGTGCAAACAATACAACATATGGCTGCACATCGACGCCGCTTACGCAGGTTAGCGCAAACACACGTCGTGTTTTAAAATTACTATGACCGGTTTATCTCTCCTTTTCTGTCAAGAGCCTGTATAATCGATGCGTTATATGTCTATGCAAACATGTAATCGTTTTTCGCGTTATATTATATATAAAATACATACTAAAATATCATAAATATTAAATTAGATTGCAAATTACCGAAGTCCTGGAGAAGTCTTAGTCTTGCATTATAAATTACTCACAATTACACAATAATAAAATTATAACTATTATTATCAAGTAATTTAATGTTTTATGTTACATGATAATAATTAGCATTAACCCAATAATAATGACAATTAAGCAATAACAATAACTGACGAACGACAAATTATGTAATTATTGCATTTTCTCGTACTCAATATTACTATCTCGACAAAGTCCGTCAATCTCGTCGATACCACTGATTCAGGTGCTGCGTTCGTCTGTCCCGAATACCGTTACTTAATGTCCGGAGTTGAATATGCGGATTCCTTCAACATGAATGCGCACAAATGGCTGCTGGTGAATTTCGATGCTTCGATATTGTGGTACGTATATTACACAGTCGCGTATATTAGGTATAAAATTTATTTCATTCACGGTGATTCCTCTCTCCTTGCAGGGTGAAGGACTCGAGGCGACTGATAGAGGCATTCAGTGTCAACAGGGTATACCTTCCTCCAGATAAAGAAGGGTCCATACCCGATTACAGAGTAAGATGTTGATTAATATTCTTTTGCCGAAGAAGCTTCGTTTATTTGTAAGCACAGTGTAACCTAAATATTTATTATTTCCTTGTACCTCCACGACACAGCATTGGCAGATTCCTCTGGGTCGGCGTTTTCGCTCCTTAAAATTGTGGTTCGTCATACGCATATACGGCGTGGAGGGGCTTCAGAAACACATTAGACACAGCATCAAGTTAGCGCACCTTTTCGAGAAACACGTCAAGTCGGATACTAGATTTGAAATAATCAAGGCTTCTATGGGTCTCGTTTGCTTCCGAATAAAGGTACTTATAAACATCGACGTTAATTCTGTAGTATCGATCGTAATTAATTAATGAATCGTGATGTTTTGTGCGTTTCATCCGATTGGAATTGCTCTCGACAATGTCGCAACAATGAGATTAATTTTCTTCAGGGCGACGACAGTTTGACCCAGGAGCTCTTGGATCGTCTGCAGGCCAGAAAACAAATCTATGTCACCGCTGGCTCTTATCAGAACAAACTTCTCGTCCGATTCGTCGTGTGCAGTAATTTCTGTCAGGAGGTAGATATCTCATTCGCCTGGAACGAGATAACCAGCCAAACTACGGAGATCTTGCAAGAGAGACTCAGCGAGAGGTCGATCAACATCATTATAAAGTCAACGGACGAAATCGCGACGAGGATAAAAACTTTGAATTTGGAAACAAAAGACAATTCGCAGAAGATATCATAATCGACTTTTTTTTTTCCCACGTCTGATTGTGATTTATAAGTCGAATCTATTATGTCATTTCTCAATTTTATGTCGTATATGCAACTTTATTCTTCAAAAATTTTCGAACGATATGCATGCGGTATTATAGATTTTCTTCGGTTTTCATGTGTGAACGGTGACAGTATTATAGATAGCTTGTGGATAATGTTGTAGAGGTTTTAATATTAAAAATTTTAGCTATAAGCTACTAATAATAAATTACAAAACGTCGAGTATAGGTTGAGGAGGAATTGCGTGACTCTGCTATTTATCTCTTCAAACAGAAGAACGAAAAAAGCAAAGCATCTGTTTCTGTTTTCTCTTTTGCACTAGAATAAGAGTAAGCTATTTTAATAAATATATAAAGGGAAGAGTATTTTTCAAAAGACGTTTTCATACTTATTCCGCACTTTGTCTCTTTGTTTCACACTTTAGTTTGTAATTTTTGATAATGACATTTCGCGTATCGCGCTCAGATATCGAATCGCGGAAAATAATAATGAGACAGCAGACTGTTAAAACAGTCGAACTTCTTTGTTTACGAATGACATGCCCTCTTTCTACTAACTTCGTAATTAATTTCGTACATTTAAATTTATGAGGAATTAGAGATCACTTTTTTTCATGACAAATTCGCCAGTTTCGATCATTTACATCGCAGGAGATGCTTTTTCACAGATCCAAGGCACCATTTTGGAAGCTGCAGAGAGTTCTCACAAGGTAAACGAAGTAGCAGCAATACATCAAGTATACAATGTCACACGCGTCCTTTTTTTGACAAATCACACTTTCGCGTCATCAATTTGTAACAATCATTATATAACAAATAAATATCATCACTTACATCAGCCTTGTGCTTTATCGAAAGTACTTGTGACGTTACTAAACTACAACAGCAAGATTCACTTTGAGATTGGCGACTGACGGGCTAACCTATTTTGATTGAATAAACATACAAGTCTCGCGCCGCAGATTTTTCTTGTCGAACAAAGGAGAAGGTAAGAAGAACACCTCAGAATGTAAGAAACCGTCGAAATTCGGGACTTGTCAACTGGATCCCTATATGATAGACCCGTGCAAGCCGGAACCAGCTGTTGTCATCATCGGCGCCGGTATGGCTGGGTTGTCGGCAGCACATCGATTAGCTCAGTGCGGCTTCCAAAAATTTACGATCTTAGAGGCGACAGATAGGTACTCATTCGTTACGTACACGCTGCGCTTGTGTAGCTAAAAGCTTCGAAATGTCTAAAAAACCTTGCTTCTAGAGAACGAATAAAGCAAACACGATCTTGAAAGGTCGCTATGGTCGAACGAGTCGAGCAATTTGTTTGGAATTTCAGACCGGGTGGTCGGATCCACTCGTGCTGGCTGGGCGACGTAGTAGCAGAGATGGGAGCTACGTGGATAGAGGGTGGCTGCGTGGCAAACCCGGTGTTCACATTAGCGGCGCAGGAGGGTTTGCTGAAGTCACCGCTCTCACGTCCGCCAGATCCAAGCCGCGGGCTTTTCTGCACCAGCGACGGCAGAGCTATCGATCTGACGGTCAGCACCATGGCGTACCATATCTTCCGGCAGATCGAGCATCAAGCGGCGGCCCTCTTTGCCCTTGACAGCGACCGTACGCATGGTACGTTGCTGAATTTTATGGGCATCAAAATCCAGCAGAAGCTGCACAACTTCCCAAAGGAGCAACGGTACAGTTGCCCAAGTCGACCCTGCGAGCGATTTATATGGCAGCGATGCGGATGTCTTCGCCGAAGTCTAACCGTTGACTTTCGCTAATTGGTGACTAAGTTGAGAACTCGTCGCAGCCAGAAGCGAGCTTGACCCGCTACATCGCTACGCAGTCAATCGTGATGACGCGAAGATGTTAATCTCCTGCGGGGAGGTAACAATACGGACAACCCTATGATTTTGCAGGTGTGATGCAGCGAAAGTAATGTACGGTCTAATGAATGGCCTGAGGTGTCATTGCGGAGATAATCTCTCACTGGTCTCGGCCGATCAGTTCGGCAGCTACATCGAGATCCCTGGCGGTGATATTAGAGTGCCACTGGGCTATGTGGGGGTATTGGCGCCACTTCTACGTGATCTGCCTGTCTGTTGCATCAAGTTCGTAAGATAAGAGATGAGTTAACCCTTTGCACTCCTGATAATACGAATTTAATATGTGTCGTGATAAATTTTTCGTCTGTTCTCTGTGCAGATTGTAGAAAAGAGTTGAACGTATGCTACAGATTTCGCAAGATATTGTCGTGATTTTTTTGTATTTCCTAATTATACGATCTTCTAAGAGTATATAATTGAAACAATTAAAGTTCTTCTAATTTTTTTCAGTAATTGAGAGCAGACACACGAGCGCAAAAGTTAAACAAATTACGATTGAATACTTGACGGTACGTCATTACGTTTGTCATTATATTTTCAGGTACTGCAAGCCAGTCAAACACATTCAATGGGGCGCAACGAACAATAATGCGTGTCCCCGAGCTCTCGTCAAATGCTGCGACGGCGATGAATTTCCCGCTGATTATGTCATCATCACGGTTTCGCTCGGTGTCTTAAAACAACACGAGAAATTATTCTATCCTGATGTATCTGTTGAAAAAGTCGAAGCAATCAACAAACTCGGCTACGGATTCGTCAACAAGATCTTCCTCGAGTACGCGAGACCCTTCTGGGTCTGGCGAGAAGGCGGTATCAAGCTGGCTTGGTCGCCGGAAGAGTTGTCGAATAGGGACAATTGGATGAAAGGTTATTATCTTTTGGTCGTCAGTCCAAAAGGCGACTTCGTTCTCAAAAATTTAGCTTTAGCTAATTATTTAATTTAATTGAAGTTGATAATTTATCATACAGGTGTGACAAGTATAGAAGAGTTGCCGAATTCTCAACATGTGCTATGTGCCTGGGTGTGTGGACATGAAGCGTTAAACATGGAATTATGTTCCGACGAGGTAGTGGTAGAGTCGATAACGCGGCTTCTTCGTCAATTCACCGGCGATCCCACGTTGCCTTATCCGGTTAACATTCTGAGGAGCAAGTGGTGTATGGATCAATATTTCGCTGGAACTCACAGTTATATCGCGATGGGCAGCACCGTTGGCCACCAATGCGATTTGGCTGCTCCTTTACCAGGTATTTCTAAATTCTTTACCTCAACGTCTCTCAAAAAGAAAAACAAAGAATTTATTTTCTGAAACACTTAAAACATATTCATTTTTTATTCTCGTAAAACAAACGACTACTAGCAGGATACAACATTTACCAGTCTACCAGACAGAATATTTGAGTAGATACTTGTTTGGACTCAGATACTTGTTTGGATTCAGATAATGTTAATATTTAACTTTCATCTCTAATTCTGAATATAATTTTTAATTTAACACAGCTTGCTGAAGACAACAGTCTTCTACAGCATCGTACATTAATTGCGGTAAATTTTTTCCAGTATCCTGCGATTCTCCCATAATCCTGTTCGCAGGAGAAGCTACAATGCCGGGACATTACAGCACCGTGCATGGAGCAAGGCTCAGTGGTATCCGCGAGGCTGAGAGAATCATTCAATTAACGAAACGACACGGCGGTCTACCGAAAGAAGCAAGTTCTAAGTATTAATTTAAGCAAATTGAATGAAAATGTCTGTAAAAAAAAAATACGTTAAGTACAGAAAAATATAATAAAAACATATAATGATATAATTAAGGACCGGTATTCATAGTCGGATCTTATATTTAAGACTGTCTTAAGTTCATCTTCAGATGTTGCACAAGTTATTTCATTGGCTACGGGGTATCTGAAAGTGAACTTAAGACGGTCTTAAATATAAGGCCTGACTATGAATACCGGCCTATAGGCGGGTCTACAGAGACCTCTTTTGGAGAAAAAAAGCACAAGAGAAAAAAACACAAATCAATATCATTGATGAGGTAATACCAGAAAGAAACCTGAAAGCGGCCAACAAGGCGTTTTCGGCGACACCGACTTTCCGCATTGGAAAAGGACGCCATCTGCATCTATTTTGAGGAAAGGAACTACGATCCTACATCCACTTTCAGATCGTGACGGCAAAACCTACATGTGGTGAGAATCCGTGCTACATCCACTTTCAGGCGGTTTATATCCATGCTACAATTATAATAGCGTACTTGACAAGCATGATCTCACATTGTTATGCGTTTGTAATATGAGTTAACATGATAACTTTTAACTAACCCGCACTTTTTGAATTTTGTATTTTTTCGAATTGTGCTGCATTGTGCTACATTTGTGCCGTATTGTGCCGCAATCCACAACTCTGCAACTCAGCGTACTCAAGAAAATTAAGAAGAACTAAATTTTTGGTAGCCCCGTATTTTTCGAATTTTGTATTTTTTTTTTAATTGTTCTGCATTGTGCCGTGTTTGTGCTGATTTGTGCCGCAAACTCGAGACCGATAACTTCAATAACATTTGAGAAGAGAAATAAAAACGAACATTTGCCAGCCCCGCACTTTTCGAATTTTGTATCTTTCTTTCGAAATGTGCGTGCTTGTCAAATACGCTATTATGGTTGTAGCACGGACATAAACCGCTTGAAAGTGGATATTGCACGAATTCCTATCACATACAAGTTTTTTTGCCGAGACCTGAAAGTGAATGTAGCATCGTAGTTCCCCTCTCAGAATGGATGCAGATGGCACTTTTTCCCAGTGCGAAAATTCGGTGTCGCCGAAAACGCCGTGTTGGTCGCTTTCAGATTCCTCTCTGTGGTGCGATTCTTTAACTCGTTATTGGAGTTAACGACAGTTTCGTTATCGTTGCGCAGCTTTTCTACGGTGTACAAAAGTATTAAAGAATCGCTGCTGGCCTTTTGCGTAAATGTGGAAACTAGTCAGAACGAATTCCATTGTGGTGGAAACACTCGTCATCGGGAAAGACAGAAAGAGAGAGGCACAATAGGTGCCGACTTTTTATTGCATTATCATAATTTATTTCATATAAACATTTGATACAGTTTTTTAAAATTTTATTTGTAGAGCTTATCTTTAGCAATAGTGTTAATAGAGTAGCTAGATCTTATAGGATATAATATATCAGAGAAAAATGGATGGAGTGATCAAGATTCAAAATTCGGTTTGGCATGGTACTGGTTAATCGACTTCGATACATTTAGAGAGATATGTGAAATAAAATCGATTGCAAGGACACAGAGCATAGCTTCCATCGTATCGTAATAGTGAGACGGTAAAAGATTACTTTTATTGCGATTGTAAGAGAAGGCTACGCGCAAAACTGTCGCGTCCTTTCGATCCGCGGTAATAGCTCAGCGATGATTCGTCGGCGAATATACGATTTATAATTTCTCTGCCTGAGAGAGATCGTATATTTACTTTGTTACTCAAACTGCAATATTTATTCGTTTGAGTGCGAATGTGTAAGGTAAAGTGGACGCGCGTTTGGTTCTGTTAAGAAACGATTCGACGATAATTTTGGATATTCACGAAAAATGTTTTTCTAATGAGAGAACTCCAAATTCTTTTTCTTTTGTTTGTTTTCCTTTCATCGTGTTATACGCTTAAATATACTCGACTGTTGGTCAATTTGAAAACGTTCCATCACGCTGAGACATTTGTACTGTTTACCAAAGCATGCTCTCTACGTTCGTAAGTCTCGCGAAATTACAGCTTGCTGTCGAATGAGTTACGTCCCGCTTCTTATCTTGAAGTAACATTTTTGTTGCAAGATAGGAAAGGGCGTAACTAATCTCGCACGAGGAGTTCGCGTTTGCTATTCGCAAGTACCAACTCGAATTTCCTTCCTCCGTGTCTTTCGCTTTCGTCTTGCACGCGTGATATTTCATCGAAGAAACGAACTCCTCAGCTTCCCGGGCGAGATCACTCGATTTCGAAGTGACGCGCGGGGTTCCCGCGACATGTGAGGGAATTTACGATAACGACGTGTCCTATGTAAGATACAGTCGTAGTTCGCACTTCTGCGAGACGACAAATAATCGCTGGAAAATAAGGTACGGCTTTCCTTCCTTTTCTATCTCTTTTCTTCTTCTTCTTCTTCTTCTTCTTCTTCTTCTTCTTTCGATCTATATGGTTTCGTAGCTGCTTGAAACTCTGTACCGACTATGATCTTAACGACTATGCACGTTATCATATTATATAAGATACCTTACTTCAAATATACAGTGAATATACATCTATGCTTAGATCGTCAAAATATCCTCGCGATCGTAATTCAACGCATGAAGTAAAGACCGCTGTCGACGGGCACGTCTAATATTTACCGGGAAGTATGTAACCGGGAAAAGAGTATACCGTATTATTCTGCTTCCTTAATAATTACATTTACACGTTAACGCGCGTTAAGGGAGAACTTATATGTAGCGGCGATCGCGATAAGGATTGTCGGTTAAATCAACTTTACGGCGAGAATATTATCACAATTTAAGCATATCGTTACTAACTCGCATTTTTTTATATATGGACTAGACTCGATTATACTTATATTAATAATAGCAGCTTCTTATTGTGTAAGGATATTGCAGAGAAACGAGGGTACTCGCAAGCTGTAACAGTAAGTCAGAATTATGGATGTACAAGATCTCGGCTCGAAACGGGCTACCATCGGCGGGTTAGTAATTTTCTCGTCTTGCTTAACATACTTCGACTCTTTTCTTCTTCTGTCACTCAAAAGTCTATGTACGCAGTTGAAATTGTAGATTGAAGGTTTCTAATAACTTCAGAGACAAGTCCGAGGAATCAATTTTTACGTAATCCGTGCGCCGAGAGCGCACACGAAGAAGACAACGGGAAGACTTTAGCACGCTGAACTTCAACTAAAATTGACAATCGAGAAAAATGGTCGCCATCTTACTTTTTGGTGAAACTGTTGATTCGCGCGGCTGTTATTCTCGTGAGCTTTGTAAGTTTGGTGTTTACTAATATACAATTACCAAGTTTAACCAAGTATTCAGAGGGAAAAGTACGGGAACACGCTCGACAGTAGCACGTTCTGACGCCATCTTGAGCTGTGTCTTGTTGCAAAGTCAATCAAAGTAGAGTGAGATGTTTAGATAATCAAAAATGGCAGGGTGCAAAAACAGCAGACGAGTCCGAGTCTCCTCGACATCGCGGAAGAGAACCGGTGGATATCAATCGCGGATATTCCGACAATTTGACCGAGTAGTATTCGTTTTTACTTCATCGAGCGACAATATATCTCTTCATTGTTTAACCACCATTTTGCACATTGGAATATCGTCCCCGTGCCGAACGACGCATGGGAATATCAAATATTTCGTACGACGGGTTTATCCGGGGAGACATTCGCACTCGTCTGGACTTTGCATCCGACGTATCTCGATTATGTTAAAAATATAGACACATATCTTGTGTTACATATGAACATACAAAAAGTATATGACGCGTTATCGAGAATGAAGCGCGTAGGAGAAACGAAGTTCGCTTATTATCCTTAACGGGGGCGTTATTTCTGTACAACGCGCCTGATACGATCTTACGCATTATAGTTAATAAATAATGATCGATGATTCGAGAAGTGTATATGGAAGAGAATATCTAAATATATATCGCTTTCTCTCTCTCTCTCTCTCTCTCTCTCTCTCTTTCTCTTTAACTTTACCTCTATACCACTTTGTGATATGCGGTTGCGGATATGCGAAGTTGCCTTTTTAGAAGCGCGTGGAGACAAGACAGCTCTTTCTCAACGTTATCTTAAAGTAACTCTTTTTTTCCACTCTTCTCCCTCCCCCTCCTCCCCCTCCTCTCTCTCTCTCTCTCTCTCTCTTTCTCTTTTCTCTGTGTTTCTCTCTGTTCTTTGTGCTTGTACGATATCCTCGTTCGCGGATTTTCTCCCTCCCCTCGTCGAATGTGCTTTTCTGATACGAGAGTTCTCGGGGATCTTCTCGACTTTGCAAGTGAGAATGCACCTAAAATTATTGGAAGGCCCATCTAGCGTCGCTAAACACGCACGAATTACACGTACACATATAAATAATGTATAAATTAATTAAGTACAAAAATTACAAACTTATTAACAAAATATTGGCAAGACTGGGGTTCAGCCGAATCAATGGGCTACAAATATCGTATCGCTCTTTTCGTCCTCTCACCGCGATTATTCACCCAATGAGATTCTCATTGCTCGAAAGAGAACTGGAGAAATAACTTGAGAAGCTACTGCTCGCTTATCAAAACTTTGTATCGATTCCTGCTACAACAGCCGATAAGCAAGGAGCTACGATCGTAAAATTATTATTTGCCACGAAATTATGCGTTTGGTTCTCAGAGATAACGTAATAACAATTTCGTACATCGTCGTACTTGGCGTTTCTCGCGATCGTATTCCTTCAACGTGATCGTTTTATCGTTGAAATGTTGCAATCACAATTTAGTACTTTAGAACCGGTGTTTAACTTAGAGTTGCAGCAGAATCACACAATCGACGCGTGTGAGCAGGAATTTCGTCTTTTTTTTTTTTTTTTTTCGAACCTTTGCCACATGACAACCCATTAATTATATTGCGGATTATTATTCGAACGAAATACATGCAGGAAGCCAAGAGTCGCGCGCAGGAATAATGAATTCATACTTAAAACATTCGATGTGTCTGGACTCTGTGACGAGTCTCAACCTTTATAAAAAAAGTCGTACAAAAAGTGGAGAGTAGATTTATCGCGAAAGGAAGAGAAATTATTTTACACTTGCGTCTCGTCCCGGTAACAGGGATATTGCGTCAGGTCGCTTTGCAATGCGTGTAACTCAGAGGGATCGCCCGTGTATCTCGAGTGTCGTTAACGCGTAATTTTTGTGTCCTTCTTTGAACGAGACCGCATCTGTTCGCTTGTCAGTTAGTAACAATCACCTCGAGATACTCTTGATACGCGCCGCTGCTCGTGCACTTCACGCGTCCTGAAAAAAATAAGGAAACAAAAGCAAAAAGAACGTATGTCCTCGCAAGACTCGATCTCTCGGAACGGAGATCTTTCGATTCTCGTCCGAAAAGGATCTCTCCCTCTCTCTCTCTCTCTCTCTCTCTCTCTCTCTCTCTCTCTCTCTCTCTCTCTCTCTCTCTCTCTCTCTCTCTCTCCCGCTCGCGTATATCGCCCGGACATTCTTCGCCATTCCTTGACGAGTCTTCTCTCTTACCTCGTCGCTCTCTACGCTCAATAAATATTACGATCGTGTTACGCCTTCCGAAAAACGTTGTGTTTAAATTACCTAACACATATCACAGAATTCATATTCTCCTTTAGAAAAAGTAACGAAAAGGGAATTACACAGAGACGTGCAGTCGCACGAGAGATATCAAAGCGTCACGCACGGGGTAGAATTATACACAAACACGTAGACACGCAGTTTGATACAAACTAAAGTCGCGTATGTTGCGTTTCATCAAGGTCCGATCTCGAGACAACGAATTTTGTGCTCTCGGATGTGAGAAATACCGTTCGCCGGTGTTTGGTTCGGAGAAATGTCGTTCGTCAATATCGTTCCTGCTGCAGTGTCCGGGCAGTGATCACCGCGCGGCGCTACTCTTTCATCCAGTCAATCACAGCAAAAAGTCGAAAAGAATCCATATGTTTGCAGCGCATTCAATCATACCAAATTGTACAGTAACAATGCATTATATAATACACAGTAACGATCGCTCTCAATATCTTATCCCGTTTGGAGCCTTGTTCTCATATTCACAAATTCTTTCTCTTATCAGATTTATAATTTTTACAGTAGATTATTTCACCTTTGAAGTAACAGGAGCTGCAAATGTTGCATCCTCCAATTTGAATTAAATCCAATTTGAAAGTTTGAATACAATTTTGTATATTAACACGAGCAATTTGGTGTTTATTTTGTTAAAATGAGCATCCTAGTCATTGAAAGCAAAAACTGACGTAAAATCGACCGAACTGTGCTCTACTTCGTTTTATGGAGCGCCACTCGTCGAGCAATCGCGATGTGTCTTATAGTGGCAAACTAATAAAATCGCGAGGCGCCTCGTGATCGCTGCCCCTCACCCATACGCACGTACGGGCACGCACACACCCACACACGCTCCGCGATCAATGTACATGCTGACTCAAACTGTGAATCCTGAAGAACATCCACTTAACACACGTATCGGTACGGATAAATTAATGTAATGAAAGTTAGGTAATAATAGATTGGTTATTAGCTGCGTAGTGTGAGTATGTTACACAGTACTATACGAATACTTTTACTTCTTTTTAACCGACATTATCTGTATGGTACAGTGACGCGTCTTGGGATCCGCTTCGATGAGGACATCCTTTTAGAGATACCTGCAAATGAATATACACAAACACACTGAAGAATATATTCAAACACGAAACAATTGAAAACATTAGGGGATCACTTCTTCACGTGAAGCGTCAATCTTACTTAGAAAAATATTCGAATTATATCCTTATACCCAAAATGAGGTGAGCGAATAAAAAATTTTAAGTACTTATAAACAAAAATATCCACTGCACATAGCAACACTTTTTCTTTTATTTTCAGTAACTAATTTTGATAGTTAGTAAAAAAAAAAAAACTACAGCTGGAAGATTCGACTCGCTATGATCCCCTAATCGTTTTCGGATCAATGTAATTTTCTTTTTTCAAGAAAATTGATCAAACGAATCAAACGCGTACCTTCTTCATTGATATAGAGCGACGCCGAGGTGGCGAAAGGACTATTGGTTGAGCAGGGTGTTAGTCACCTCAGAGATGGACAACAGAGGACTCCCGGCGTCCGGTTTGGAATCTGTGGGACAGTTGGGCCCATTCCTGCCGCCGCCGCCGCCGCCGCCGCCGCCGCCGCCGCTGCCGCTGATGATCCCACTACGTGATGGTGGTGGTGGTGGTGGTGGTGCGGAGGGTGGTACAAGACGTTGCTGTTGCTGGTGCTGTTGTCCGCCCCGGTGCCCATGCCCATGCCTGCTCCCACCCCCGCCGTCCCCGTTCCCGCAACTGACGGTGGCGTGCTGCAACCAAATGGACGGTCTCCCCGTTATCTTCACGTGTGCTAAATTAAGCTTCTCTTACGGCAGATAGTGACACAGCGCCACGGCTAGAACTCTGTTTTCTGATATCGCTCAGAAGAAGCGAGAGCTCCTCTTTAGTCGTTCGATTCGTACGTCTTATTTCTTTTCCGAGTGCGATGCTTCTCTCAGAAAGATGGGAAAATGTGCTTTCATAACCGTGTAAACGTTTATTGTGCCGTTTTACGTAAGAACACTCGCGTGTTCTTCACGTATTCTTTTGATTGATGACGTTGTTGCCGAACGAGCATTCCGAGTTCAAGCCGTATTCGTAGAGTTCAACGCTGATCAACTGTAATGATTCTTCTAGCAGTGACGGTGAGCTTTGAAGACAATCATTAACAAAGTTATGTGTGTGTAAGATGACATAAAAAATAAATAATCAAACTGTTAATTCGTCATGCACTTGTTTCTGATGCGACGTGCCAAGCGGACGAGTATGCTCCACAGTATCATACTCGCGAAAATGCACATATTTGTAAAAGACGCATACATTTTTACACATTAAATATGCAAAAAGTTTGATAAACTACGTCTTATAGTATTTGTGTACTAACAAGATGATCCAAATTTTCCAATTCCACAATTTCATCACACAAACTCTCATGTTTCTCTCAAAGTACGCAATCGTGTTTGCTTCGGTCTGTACGATTGATTTTGCCTTTCAACGGGGAGATGTCCGAGTATGCACGATGAGGCTCCTATCGTCAACCATTACTGTCACGAACGATCAATTTGTGCACAAACAACATTCCGTATGCGGTAAACAGCATTGATTACCAGTGCCGTCATTCGAATAGAAGATACTCGGCAAGAACATCCTACTAAAAACAATTTTACGCACGATTTTCATACACAAGTTGCTTCGACTGAATAATTTCTATAGACGAAATTTGTTTAATTTTCACTAATGAGGATTTAACTCAGTATGAAAGCCATTCGTACATACCCCTGGCATCTCGCATTCGCTCTGAACTAAGGTAACCAACCGCCCAAAGTCGTTTAAAAAAATGTTTGTAATTTGTTTCAACGAGCAGAAAAGAATGAAAAATTTTATGCTATCTGTGTGAACTCTGCCTTCTTAAAATTTCTCCACGTTTTGCATTCACGATCTAAGCACAAGCAGTATCGCCAAATAATAAAGTAATTGTTAACGTTAACAAATTCAACAATAAAGCATTCCCTCCGATTCACAATAGAGGACAACATTAAATGTCGATGAGTAAAATTCTACGAAAAGGTCAAAATAAGTACGAAACTTAGTCGTTGCAGAAACGAGATCTCTCAAAGTCTTGTTCTCTCTTTAAAGCTTTCTTCCAGCTTATACGGGGCTTGGTTGGTCACCTTACCCTGAACGTCGATGGAAAATTATAATAAAATCTGTGAGGCAGCAGTGACACTCACTGGGGCGTGTGCCTTGGTGGTGCGGGGTGGTGATGGTGGTAGGGATAGTACTGGTAGTGATGGTGTTGCACTCCTTGCCATACCTCGGAGCCCGCTTCCCCGTGGCCATGGCCCGGATGAGAATGCGTGTATCCGATGCTGCCGGCGGCGGCGGCGGCGGCCGCGGCAGCGGCTGCGGCCGCTTGGTACTGCGACGTGGTCACTGGGTATTGCTGATGCTGTTGTTGTTGCTGCTGCTGCTGCTGCTGCTGCTGCTGCTGCTGCGGATGGTGGTGTTGTTGCTGCTGTTGTTGCTGCTGAGATGGAGGCTGCTGCTGCTGCTGCTGCTGCTGCTGCTGCTGTGCTTTGTTGTTCCTCGGCGGACTCGGCGCGGTTATTTGTTGATCCGTAGGAGAGGTTTGCCGCCACTTGCAATCTCCGTTCATGGAGTTCATCTCCGCCAGCGACTTGAGCGGGTCGCCGGTGGCGTTGGTCGAGTGCGTAGACGAGTGAGTCGAATGCGGCGTCGGCGGACTGTAGCTGCCGTTGTTTCTGGGCGGCGTACGAGACGGCGGCGCACCCCACATCAGCACAGTCTGCCGCGGTGCGTCATTGTTGCTGTAGACTTCGGGCTTCACGTCCTCCATCTTTGGTGTCAACACACCGTTGGCCGCGCCGGTCACCGGTGAGCTACCCGCTGAGTTACTGGACGATGCGCCACCCTCCAGCGAGTGTCTGCTTCCAGCACGCACGACGTTGATGTCGGTCGTCGCTGGGTGCATCGTGGACGCGCTCGCCACCGGGCTGGCGGCGTAAGGCGAGCTACTTACGCTGCCGGGGTGTCTCGTCTCCACGTAGCCGTACTTGGGCGATTCGCCGCTGCCGAGTTGTTGGCAGTAGAGCTTGTCCTCTGTCTTGCTGGTTAACTGATGAGTCTCATACGTGGGCAATGAAACGTCGATAAAGCCGTTGTACGTGGTGCCGGTGTGGTACTCTGGATAGTATGAGCTCAGTGGCCTGTATTGGAACAGGTTCTCCGTCGCAGCTGTAAGGTACCTATGTAGGAAAAACGAATTTTGCGAATGAATGTAAAGCTTTTGCAATGCAAGCTTTGCATTACTAAATTGGCAGAAAACTCTTCAGGTCTCTCTTCAGTCAAGCAAATATTTTTATTTTTACATGGCGTTTTACTTTCTACTTTCTCTAGCTTTCTAGCTTTATTTCACAGTTATAGCTGACGATATAGATTATAGATAATGATACTAAATGCGGCAATTATCAAGTATATCTGTTTGTCGATAACTTCGGATAGTCTTCGGACAGATGATCTCTCCGGGATATCTACCTGTTGTCTAACGCGGTGGCTGGATAAAGAGTCTGATGGTAGTTGCCCGTATGACCGATGTAAGTCGTCAACGAGGGGTCGGTGCTAGCTGCTACCGCAGTGGGCGCGTACGGCGTCGGGTACATGGTGTTTAAATTGCTGTAAGCAGCTGCAACCGCAGCCGCCGCGCTGGTGTCCGCCGCGAGGTAGTCGACGGACGCGACTGTCGGTGTGACGGGCGGCGAGACCGACGACTGAGCGGTGAGCTTGGTGCGTTTGCTGCGACAGGTCGACAGGAAGTCTCGCAGTTGCGTCTTGTACCGCCTGTTCACTCTCTGAGGCGCCGGCTGCGCTGGTAATGTCGGCGTCATCACCGACCCCGTCAGACTGTCGCTGTCTGAGAAGTAGCTGTTGGTCAGTCCGGCGTCCAGGTAGCTCACTTTGAAGTCCATCGTGCGCTTGCCGAGCAGGTCTCTACCCTCCTCCTCCCTGAAGCGCGGAAACTCGTCAATTACACACCGTCTGTTCATCATTCTCGTGGACATTGATACGTTAACTGGAGACTTACATGAGGGGTCGATGCGTACTGAGCACGAAGTCTGGCTTCGAGTTCTTGTAGACTAATCTGGAGCTGGTCTGCAGCCACTGCCAACCGCCGTCCTTCGTTTGAAATCTGTAGGCTATCATGCCCGACGCACCGGTCTTCAATACTAAAACAGGAAGGAAAGGAGGAAAATTGACTGGCGCACCTGACTCGTCGTCGTTTGATTAATTCTGCTGAGAAGCAATCTACTACTTGACGTCACAAGACGACGGAATTGTGCGTAAACAAGGCGGGATGTTCACCTTGGCCCAAATTGAAATCAAATTACGATTAATTAGGGTATTAATTAGGATCAATAGATTCGTAAAGTTGCAGTGAAAATTAGAGTTGTATTTAATCACGCGTTTCGAAACAAGCGCAAGATTCACTTACGTTCTTGATGCGCGCTTGCGACGTAGGCCAGGTCGTCGTAATGGACTAGATCGTAGCCACCCAGGTTCGTTAGCTCCGCGTCAGAGTACCCCAAGAGCATCTTCCCTCTCTGGTCCATCGTCACGAGCGCGAGATCCAACTTGTGCTTGCTCTTGAACATTACCTCCTTCTGCGGCACCTCCAGCAGCGAAGGAGGCCCAAACGGTGTGCACAGGGCGAATAAAGCCAATGGTGGCTCTTCTGTCTTCCGATTCTGACCATGAAGCACTTTGACTCGGCCCCTGATGTCAAGGCGCTGCAACAAAATATTGCACAAATAGACGCACATCGTCAAAAATCTAGAGCAGATTGATGGGTTGATTGGCCAGACGAAATGTGAATTTTAATTTGACGATAATTGACACAATCCTCTATTATCTCACTTATCGTTTCCTATGTATCACTATTATCTTAGAGGAGAAGGTGGTATTATGGCTCTTGCAGGTATTACGGCCACTCTCAATGTCACCGTTATTAGCTAGCGAATTCCAGTTATTACTTATGGAATCATTTGTTTAGTAATTTGCCGTTAGCGCAGTGACGCTAATATACCAATACATAATAGCTAGCGTTTTTTATAACGCATTTTTACCCTCGGGCATTTCGAAATGTTTTTCAAGCTACATTTTAGCATTTAATTAGACGTGTTTCCTTATTATTTTTAAACTTGAACGTATTATCACACGAATATATATATATATATATATATATATAAAATTGAGTATTTTGTTTGTCATTTGACATTTTATTCGGCTGTACATCTTTCAAATTATGCAAAGTTAAATGAAATGGTATGACAGTTTGCTAATGTGGTGCTGCCCATAAAAGTGCTGATGATTATTGTTTCCTTTTCGAGCTTTTTATGCCAAAGTGATCATTCGACAAGTTGATTCTGGTCTGTAGTCTACTGTTGTATTTATCTTTGCACTGCTGTCTTTCTGGCAAATTGCATTTCCCAACAAGTAAGTCAATATTCACGTTAAAACGTTTCGCAGTCATATTGATTATCATTCCCCTTCTAAGGGTTTAATTTGAATAAATATAATTTTGTAACTAAACATTTTGTGTTATTTTAAACCAAATCAATTTTTTGTAGTTTAGTTTTAGTGGGAGGTCACACTGCCACCCCATTTTCTCATCGACCCATTATGCTCCTACTCTTTTATAAGTAACATCCTAAGTAATAAACATTACGTAGATTTGAGTCTATAATCGATTAAACAACATTGTAATAAATATAATCGTTCAGTTCTTACTTTAAAATATTGATTATTGCCATAATACTAATATGACTATTGCCATAATACTTCTTTTCCAATATATATTGTCAATTTATCGTTATCGATATTATTATTATTATATTTAGCATCCCTTGTAACTCTTCATGAGAAGGTCTCTCGCACAGCCGCTCGGTGAAAAAAAGGACGCGGTCAAGGGAATACACGACGCTCTCTCTCTCTCTCTCTCCCTCTCTCTCTCTCTCTCTCTTTCTCTCTCTCGACAGAACAATCCCACGTGGAACCGTCCCGGCGAGGAAAAAACGGAGAAAAATTAGCGCGCGGATGCGTCGGTCCCTGTTGCGGGGGATGCCACCAAGGGCGGAGGCAGATCCTGGAGAAGGTGGCGGCGGTGAGCCTGTTGCGCCGTAAACTCTTTTACGATTACAGTTTCATTTTCATAAACGTCAAAGCGGCACCGTTTTTGTTCAAGCTCACTCGAGCGCGGCCGCGCGCGTTCGTACGCGCAACCTGAAACACCTCAGCTCCGGCGCGCAGGATCTCTTATACACATACACAGATGCTTTCTCTCTTTCTCTTCCTTCCTCGTGTCTCACGGGATGATACCGTTGTCTCTGTTCATCACGTTCGACATCGCGTATACCTGTGCGCACCCGCGCGCGGTGTGTTTGCCGTAAGATAATTAGTGTTTTGCCACGACTCCTCGCACCGGGCCCCCCCTCCTCTCCCTCTTTCTCTCTCTCTCTCTCTCTCTCTCTCTCTCCTGCCTCTCGCCTTACCCACAGGGAGAGCCTGGTTTTGTGTTTGGTCCTTGATTTATACCTTTTCTTGGACGCCGTCGAGACAACGGTACCAACGATGGACAGCTCGGCAGCCGTCCGGACGAATTATCGTTTCAATCTCCGCCGCGCTGTCACGGTTCATTGGCTGGGCCTATGATTATACACGTCCAGCGTTTGCGCGGGGAACGCCGGCCCCGCGGCCTAGATTTAAGGCCGTTGACGTAAGTCGGTTATTCGAAATCCCCTGTCGGAATTGTGTTCCTGGTCAGAAAATTCGTAAACTCGGTGCAACACGCTCGCGGTTGCGCTGCGAATAATGCCGTGGTTACGGGATAATCGTCGCGAGCGGCACGTTCTCCCGTCCTCGACAGAGTGTTTTACTCTTAACACCGCGAGACACTCGCGTCGAGAGTTCGCTGAAAGTTCTTATCGTTCGGTGAAAATTCCGATCGCGACTGTAATTAATCCATTTTCGAGATGGTAGTGCAAAAATCGTCGATCGTAAAGACGACTTTTCGAGCGACTGCCGAAACGATCGAGAGGGTAAGTGGGAAATGTCCGGCGAAACGAGAATCGGGGGAGGAGGTGGTTGCCAGGATGAGAAGCTGGATGTGAAAAAAAGCAATTACGCGAGAGTGGAGGAAACAGTGGCGGCGTAGTGAAGCGAACAAGTTCGCTCCTTCTCTTTATGACAGTGAAATTATTAATTACTGTTTTGTCTGTACGCCTCCCGGCGCGCATCGCTTTTGTAACCGTGGAGGAACGTCGTCGCGTCCGCCGGGATCCTTGCCGGACAGTCAGCACGCCATTTATTGTAATTAGCTGCCGCATTTGCCGCAAAGACTTCGAGATCGTTTATGTGTTTTCGCGCGACCGAGCGAAGTACCGAGATCGAGATTATCGTCTCGCAAAGCGGACGCGTTCTGAATTTCGGCTGGGCCAATGAAAAGCAAAATAGTCCATCGGACATCACAAATGCGCGCGTTGATATTTTTAATATTTATATTTCGCGAGATATCGATCTTAATTCTCTGGCGAATAATTCGATGTCAGAAATCGGCGTTGAAAACGTTTTAATTAAAAACGAGGGACTGACTAGATTTCTAGTTTCTAGATTTGCAGAAATGCGGGAAATCGACATGAATCATCTGAAATTGCGGGGTTTAATCGCACGCTTAGGGACACAGGATTGCACAAGTCGCCAGGCAAGACAAATGAACGCGACATGAGGAAGCGTGTACGTACCAGAAAACCGGATGTATTGTCCAGAAGACAGCGGAAGCGAACCGTAAAGCTGCGCTCGAGCAGATGACTGTGTTGGGGTGAGAGCGCATCGTGCAACGGCAGACTCGCGCTTTCGGCGGGTAGGAACGAGTTCCACATTAATTGCCGCTGCAGCTCCTCCCGGTCCTCGCTGTGCACCAATTCGTAGACACTCTGATGAACGATGTCGGACTGCAAGAAAAGAAACGACAAAGTTGCACGACGTAGCTCTTCGATTAAGGAGAAAAATAATCTGCAAAATCGCCGCCAGAAATTTATCGGTAAAATATATTTCAGCAATAGCAGCAGCAGCAGCAGCAGCAGCAGCAGCAACAGCAGCAACGTGGAACGTTCTGTGTGCGATATATCTGCAAAATTGAACGGCCGATATATCACGATGATTTATTGCCGACATCGGGAAAAATGCAAGGGAGATTCGCTTATTCACAACACGCGCAATACAGATTTTATTGCGCCCCCTACATAATTATCGTTCGTTTATTCGCAGTTTAGATGCCGGCTATAAAACGAGTTAATAATAGTGCTCGCGTTCCTTGCGTCGCGAGCACCTGACATTCGCGTTTATCCAATCTAAGAATTCGTGCATACATTCTGTCGTGTGTCACGAACGTGCGCGAACCGAGCCGTTATTTACGATTAAGCTCTGTTCGACTTCCAACCGTTTTCTTCGCGTCGGTCACATCGCGATCTCGTTCGCGTTAATTTTGCACCGACAGACAACAGTGCGTACAAAGATCGCAGGATAATCATCTCTGCGTTAGAGTTTCCTAAATTAAAAAATAGCGAAATTTACTTAAATTCGTCGAACCTTTTCAACGCATCGATATTAATCAATCAACAAAATATCGCAATATCTTGTTCTTCAATTATTGAAAAAAATTTTTTGAATTAGAATACGTTTAAGACATAGATTATAAAAAGTGACAACTTTCGTTCCAAAATATGAGACACATCGTAATACGATATACAATATACAGATAAAAAGAAACAAAACTTATTAAGATAGCTAGAATATAAATGTAGTAGATATGTATAAAAATATATGTCATTACTCAATTGTTATTAATGTTAATACAAGTCTTAAAGGACAAACTTGGTGTAGCGAACTCATGACACTCAATTCCTTACCATGAAACATCGAGTAGCAGAGTGGCGCAGTGGAAGCGTGCTGGGCCCATAACCCAGAGGTCCGTGGATCGAAACCACGCTCTGCTAGTTTCTTTTTTTTCGTTTGTTATTTTTATAAATCTTAAATCAAACATTACACATCGTACAATTATGATAATCAGAATTCATTTAGAACTTTTTTTTATAACATAATTTCTGTGATATATTCAAGTACACATACACAGATTAATTATATCTGTAAAAATAATGTTTTTTTAATGTATATCATATTTTTAGCACCGTTTCGTACGATAAATATCACACACAACGATATTCACGTTAGGGTCAAAACCTGAAATTAGCAATTTCGCAAACTGACTCGGCTATTCGCACTTTGGTCGATACTGCCGACTATACCGCAAAGCTTCAATGAGGGTAGTGCTCGTTTCGCGTCCCGGTAATATCGTCCTAGTCATATCGTAAACTGACCGTAAATGCGTGCGACCAGAATCACTACGTCTCTCGAAGAATGTGCGTAAAGCAACACATATTCATATATACCATAATTAACATATTATAATTCCAAATACCATAACAACTCAGCTTATATAAATAATTAGTGTTGTAAAAAACTGTAACATGCACATGTGTATTCTAAAATATGTATCACGTGCAGTCCTGGATATATGTAACATATCCAGTATGTATCATAATGCGATATGTATAAATTTCTCTCGTAAGAATTATCTGCTGATAATGATGTATCCAAGTTCCCGAAAAACTGAAATGTCTCTTACGGAGAGGATAAGGAGTTTATGTTAAATTTATAAATTTTGCAGGTTTGACCACGACCTTTGACTTTTAAGTATTTTTAACCCTCCGCCCTTCAACAGCAGAGTGGCGCAGTGGAAGCGTGCTGGGCCCATAACCCAGAGGTCCGTGGATCGAAACCACGCTCTGCTAGCGACCTTACTTTTTGGATCCATTTTACTAGGCTACGTTACTGCACGCAGGTGGTTACCCGCATTAACCCTCCTGTTTCCCATCAGCAGAGTGGCGCAGTGGAAGCGTGCTGGGCCCATAACCCAGAGGTCCGTGGATCGAAACCACGCTCTGCTAAAGTTTTTTTGTTTTTCGATTCTTCATCTTTTTTTAATAGTCTTATAAAAACGTCATTATTGATTTACAAGCGTGAGTAAATTACTATTTATCGTTCTGTACAATGTAAATTATGCTTTTCTCCACGAGATTCAATGTGGCACGGGATATTCGCGTATCGCGGCAAGCACATCGAGAATTTGTAAGTGCACCCCTAAGTGTAAAAAAAAGAGAAATTATTAATTTAACGAAATTATTCCAACCAACATATAAATTTACGTGTTGGTAGATTAAAAGGTCCTTTACTCTCCGAGCCTGATCGAATAATTCCACCACTGGAGTAAAATTTCGTCGACGATCTTAACACTAAAATTCTTAATTAACAAAATATTCACCGCATTTACGAAGGAATTTATCTCGGTGACATAGCTTAAGTGCCTCAAATAATCGCTCAAACATCGCTCAACTCCCAAGTTTCGAGATGTCATGTATGGTGTCGTTAAGATCTCATCCCTCCTCCCCCTCCCCCGTCTAAGCGCTCCGCACGGCGCCGCAGCGATCAATGCCGCGGGATTACATAACAATTTCAAGCGGAAAAACATAAGAAGCGGCGGGCAGGACGCGATCGATGTTGTCTCTCGCACGGGGCCGGCGTCGCCGTCGTCGTCGTCCCCGTCGTCATCGTCGTCATCGCCGTTACCGGACGTGGCTCTCGCTCGTAAGCAGCGGCAACGGCGAGAGCGGAGAGTGCGACTAACATGGAAGTCGTGAGATCGCAGCGCCGCTGATATACACCTAAGCACGAACGTAAGTACGTATCCTACGTACAAGCGAGCGTTGTACGCTGAGATACACTGAGCTCGCTCGTTCGCGAGCTAGAAACGTAGCTCGGTAGCTCGCTCGGAAGTCACCTCGTATCGTTTTCTACCCGCGTGATTTATTATATTATTCGCGCCGGCCGCGGAGCGCGCCCGAGCTGACAGCCATGACCAGGTAATGGCCAGAGGTAGGCAGAGAGGGAGAGAGAGAGAGAGAGAGAGAGAGAGAGAGAGAGAGAAGGAGAGAGCGAGTCAATTCGATCTGTTCGAGAGTCCGCGTTAGAGGTTCAACCGACCACTAGGAGGAAAGGGTGGCGAATGCGTGCGCACGATTATCGGATTAAAAGTCACGCGCGTTACACCTATCCGCTCCTGGCTGCCGACCTGGTCAAGATCGCCTTGGTCCTGTTACACGCGGTCTGCCGATGAGAAGTACAAGCCACCTCAAGCAGCACCCTCCCCGCGTCCAGGAGCACCTCCAAGTGCACCATGTCTATGTGTGGGTATCCTTCCGGGGAATACTGTCTATATATATCTGAAACTGTTTCTTCTTCAACATGTATACTTCAAGGCGTATTTATAACGTCTTTAGGTCTTCCTTCGGAATACGTCCGAGGTGCTCATCAGGATAACATCCCGACTGACTCCATATCGGACCAGATACATCTCAGGACAATTAAGTCTTCGTTATGCGGACAAGATGGTTTCGCGTGTATGAGATATCATTTGTGTTAAACGTTATCATTCCTACGGTTTGCTCAAGGGCGACAGCCAAGTACTCGAAGTTAGAAACACGTTTGAGGCGAAAGTAAGGCTGAAGTAAGAGGAGAAAAAGAGAGGAAGAGAGAGGGAGAGGGAGAGAGAGAGAGAGAGAGAGAGAGAGAGAGAGAGAGAGAGAGCGCGCAACAACAGCTCATGGCGCTCGTATCAGGCATCAGGACTCCTGATGCTTTCTCCGCGCGACGGGAGCTAAATTCAGCCGCAGTGACAGCGGCGCGCCGACCGTAGAAAATTGTATTTCTCTGTCTCTCTCTCTCTCTCTCTCTCTCTCTCGTGCGCGAGCTCATCGCTCTCTCGGCCGGAGGACTAGTCCGGCTTTAATTATGCGCGATAAAGTGCGTCGGACACGTGTAGGTACATGTGCCGTACGCGAGAGCTAGTGTCGCGGCGCGACGTCACGACTGATCAGATATTTTCTGAAATAATGCCACTCGGTCCGCGCGCGCGCGCGCGCGCGCGTCGTACGTTCCGTTCAACCGCGACCTCTTCCTGTTCCTTCTCGCCGCGCGCGTCGCTCGTCCTTTCACGCTGTATTTTTTGGGCGCTCGCGACTTACGTGGCGCACGCGGATGGAGAGATCGTTTCAATGTGAAGTGAGCAGAACGAAAGCAATCCGCCGCGACTCGCTGAGCGAGCGAGATCGTATTTACATTAACATCTCACCCTGTTCGTAATTTTATTAAATTCATTGATAACACACACACACACACACACACATGTAGAAGACACCCACTCGGGATACAAGCGACATCGTCGAGGAGAGCATCACGCGCGTACATCTCTCGGCCATAATTGCGCGTCTAGGAGCATCCGATGTAGACGCAATTTCATCGCGGGACACAACGCCGCTCGTAAAATCCATCCGGATCTCAATAAATATGCAGCGAGAAGGAGGAGGGCGGAGGGTCCCGACGAAATCCGCAGGTGAACGGAGAAAGAGAGAAGGAGGAGCAAGGAGAGGAACAAGGAGAGAGAAATCGAAGTCCCGCGAAGAGCGAGTCTCTCGGCTCGCCGTGGGTTCCAATGAATTCGAGCGCGTCCCTTCCCCGCCCCTGCCCCGCTTCCTTGTCTTCTTCTTCATCCTCTAGTCTTCGCACCCCCGCTGCGATCGCGAGAGCCGCTCTAATTTTAATTAAGGGTTACACACGATTTCCGTGGTAATCGTGAGCGCGATCCCTGACTCCTCAGCTGGACACACGGTGGACGTGTAATTGCCCGACCGTAGTCCTGCACCTTCCTCCCCCCCCCTCCTCCCTCCCGGCTGCCGCCATGCCCGTGCGCGGGTATATATCAGAACGGCGACGAGAATAAACCTACTTGCAATTCTCATTGATGCACGAGCCGCTCGATTACCTGCGCTCTCCGTTA